AGTCTAAGATGTGAAAGACTTTCTTGACAGGTGTGGTTTCGATACTTTTGAAATTCTATAGCGACTACAATCCCAGGACCCAGGGATGTAGGCCAAAAGATTGGTCACAAGTCTACGAAAGAATACGTCTCCAAGCTGAACCCCTAGCTAGCGCAACCCTGTACCTTCCAAAACAGGATACGCAAAACGAAAGTCACAGCTCGCGTTTCAAAGGGTGCAAGGTCTTTACCTCCGCAAGCCCCAAGCTGTAAATATCGCTCTGGATGCCCAAAGACCCTTGGTGCCAGGAACAGTCCTCCCAGCCTTTTGACAAGCAGTTCGGTGGGCAATGCCCTGAAGACGCTTGGCGTTGCCTGAGCTTTCAGTTCTCACAAGCAGCAAGCCCGGCGGGGGGAGGGGTTTTGGTTTTCGGGATTCATCCATTCAGGAGTCTTCGCATCCTAATTCTGAGACGTCGGCCATACAAGCGCTACTCGACACGCGCTGCACACCGAAAAGACCCTCAAAAGCCTTGAAAACCTTGAGCGTGGTTGACCTGAAGCCCTAAACCCTCGAAGCTGTAAACCTCGGGTCCTTAGCAGCAAGCCCCCTAAAACCCTCGCTCCCCCTAAGCTCTGCACGGCCCAACTCCCTAAGCCATTGAACCCTGAGACCCACGCACCCCTAAACACCCAAAAGCCTTATCCCGCAACCCTGAAATCCCGAAACTCCTACACCCAAAAAAAGAACCCTCAACGCCTGAACCCCTCTCCTAAATCCCTAAACTCGTAAATTTAAAACACAAGTTGCCCTTTCAGCACCCCCGAAACCTTCAAAAACCGGCTGACGCAAGGAGCGGGTCAGCCTTACGCAGTTCCACCCCGGACCTAGCCCCTGGCAGGGGCCCTTAGAGAGTTTGGTGTTTGGGGTTTAGGGGTCATGGGTTTACGGGTCCAGCGTTTGGATTTGTTGGGGTTTAGATGGGTTTAGGGTTTGTTGGGGTTTTAGGCCTTTGGGGTTTGTAGGGTTTAGGGTTTTAGGGCTCCAAGGGGCCAAGTTTTTTTTTTGTTTTCTGAAGGTGGGGCTCGGGCCTCTTTTCTTCACAAAGGTGTGGCTCGGGTCCCCTGGTCCTCTGGTCCCGTGATCCTCCCGTGGTCCTCTGGTCCCGTGGCGCCGTGGCCCCGTGGTCACCGTATGAATCCCTTCTAAACCCACCGCGCGAGCATTCTGTTCGCAAAAGGTTGTGACCCCCCCCAACCCCCTCCGCTTTTGTGAGCATTGTTCACGCATTGTGTTTGCAAAATGGGGGGGGGGGGGGCGGGCCTGCGCCGCCCCCAACCCCCCCGTTTGTTTTGGCCGTGCAAGCTTGCGTCAACACATATTATTCCCTTCCGAACCCATCGGGCGACCGTTGTGTTGCGACCCTCCCAACCCCCCCCCCCCCCGGTTTTTTAAGCCGTGCAAGCTTGCCTCAAACGCCGAACACCATATGAATCCCTTACAATCCCATCATGCGAGCATTCTGCTTGCAAATGGTTGCGACCCCCAAGCGCCCCGCTTTTGTGAGCCGTGCACCATTAGAATCCCTTTACAGTATTTGCAGCGTCAGAGAACTCAGAAATGCTGCTATTGTACAGTGTGTATGCAGTACTTGCAGCCGCTGATTGCAGTATTTGCAGCCTCTGAAAAGGCCGAAATGCTGTTTTTTGCAGTATTTTGAAGCCGTGCAAGCTTGCCTCAAACACCATATGACTGCCAAACCCATCATGCGAGCATTCTGTTTGCAGATGGTTGCCCCGCGCTTTTGTGAGCCGTGCATTAGATAAAAAACATAGCCTCTTTCTTTTGGGGCCAATGTAAATCCCGAAAACGCACGTAACAGTTGACGTAAATGGTTGCGTAAGTGGCTTTGACTTGGTCGCGTAAATTTCACGCAAGTGCACGTAACAGTTTTGCCTCTTGGTGTAGTGCACGTAACTGTTGACGTAAATGGTTTTGACTTGGTTGCGCAAATGGCACCCAAGTGCACGTGACAGTCTTGCCTCTTGGGGTAATGCACGCAATGCTAATGGTTTTGATTTGGTTGCATAACTGACGCCCATGCATGTCTTGGCAGAATTAGTCTCCTTAGTCTGGACCAAGGTTTTGGCAATGCCAAATCCGAAAACGCACGTAACCGTTGACCTAAATGGTTTTGTGTTAACCTCTTAGGGTCTTGGGTTTTGTATCCACACAAAACCAGCTTAGCAGCTTAGCAGACCGTTACTGTAGGAAAATACAAATCGCACCCGGGTGCTTTTTCCACACACAACCAGCCTAGCAGAACGTCGCATCACTGAGCATCACTGTGGGAAGTACAAATCGCACTTGAGTGCGATTGGTGATTTGTATGTTCCACACGAAGCCATCACAGGAGACCGTCCTCAGACCGTCGCATCACCTGAGCATCATCCATGGACTTTGTCCAATGGGACAAAAAAACCAGGAGGTTCGGCTTTCATTGTGGGCAAACACAAATCGCACCCGGGTGCATTTTGTATTCTGCCACAGGAAACAAACAACCCGTGAGTGTGATAAGGAAAGGTTTTCGGCGTCGGCTCCGGCGTCTCATTTACAAGGGTCCTTCCGGGCGTCTGTGACGCTGGGAGCTTTTGGCGTGTTTTACGTTAAGTTTTTGGTTTTAAGGGGCCTTCTTCAGTGTCCCGGGGGTTTTCGTTTGTCTGTGGGTCAGGTTTTCGCTGGGGGCGTTCCGGCGGGGTTGCTGAGACCGGGGGGTGATTGGGTTGTGGGTGGTGGGGTCCTTCACACAGAGACACAACAAGTTTTTTACGCTTAGGGGCTCTTTCGAGCCTCCTCCTGACCTGCTTTTTGGAAGCCTAAGACGCACGTAATAGCCGGTAAGAGTCTGTTTGACTCTGGTTCAGCCCAGAATGGCCCCTAAACCTTAAACCCTAAACACTAAACCCTAAACCCTAATCCCTAAACCCTTAAAACCTTAAACCCTTAAACCCTTAAACCGTGAACCCTGAACCCTAAACCCTAATTTGCTGAAACATCCCAAACAAAACCGTCGGAGTTGCTGCGGGCCGTGAACATCGAGGGGGGAGGCAAGGCGGAAGCGGTCCCGTGAAGTTTCAGGGGTCACATGAGAGCAGTGGTCTGCTTCTACAAGCGTGAGGTCATGATGTTTATAACATGGTCGTCCTACACATTCCTACACCCCATTTAAGACAGGGCCTACAAAACCGTTTAAAACCGTTTTGATGCGTTGAAAGTAGAGGCAACGAAACCAACCGTTTACAACCGTTTTGGAATTTAGGGGTTTTTAGGAGCCATTTACTTGGCAACAAAACCGTTTAAAACCGTTTTGCTGCACCCAATAAAAGCATATAAAAGCGGGCGTTTATGCATAATATAAACACAAACCCTAAACCTTAAACCCTCAGCCGAAACCTTAAACCCTGATGTAGGTACGGTTCGAAGTCTCGGGAACCTAAGTTCTATAATCTTGGGAGCTTAAGTTCTCCAATTATAATAGTTCTCGGGACTAGGGTTCAGAGTTTTAGGGTTCATAGGGCTTTTACGGTTTAGGGGTTTAGGATTCAATGTCCTCTACCCAAGACTGCTGCTCCAGAAATGGTGGCTCCCAGGCCATTGGGGGAGGTCCCAACCCCTCCCCCCAAAGCTGTTACGTGGCTTCTTTGCTTGTTTAATCCCCCCCGCCAAAACTGTTACGCGGTGCTGAGTTGTGGCGTGGCTTTTTAGGCCTCGCAGTTTAAGAGGCCATGTTTCCAACTAAGCCGTGCACCATTAGAATCCTTTCCAAACCCATCGTTCGAGCATTGTGTTTGCAAATGGGGGGGCTGCGCCCCCCCCTAACCCCCCGCTTTTTTAGGCCTTGCAAGCTTGCAGCAAAGCATAGCGTCAAAGCACATGATTCCCTTCCATTTGCTTGTCTCATGCTGGCATTTACAGCATTTGCAGCTTCTGAAAATTCAGAAATGCCGCTCTTTACAGTATTTGCAGCGTCAGAGAACTCAGAAATGCTGCTATTGTACAGTATGTTTACAGTACTTGCCTATTTACAGTATTGCAGCCGCTGAAAACACAGAAATGATGCTATTTACAGTATTCGAAGCTTTTGAAAATGCAGAAATGCTGCTATTTTCAGTATTTCAAGAAAAAAACTGCTTTTTACAGTATTTGCAGCCTCTGAAGAGCGCAGCAATGCTGCTATTTACAGTATTTCCAGCATCTGAAAACGCGCCACATACAGTATTTGCAGCCTTTGACAACGCAGAAATGCTGCCATATGTAGTATTTTTGCAGCCTCTGAAAACACAGAAATGTTGCTACTTACAGTATTTGCCAAGCCAAGCCGAGCCACTCCGTTTCAAAAAAAGGGCCCGAGCCACACCTTAGCAAAAAAAAAATCCGCCGATTCAAGGCTTAGAGGGAATTGAGTTTAGGGTTATAAAGTATTGGGTTCGGTAGTGAATGTGGGCTTTGGGCTTAAACGTAGTGCGAAGATCTGTTTTCTTGGCTTTTGAAAGCTTAGAGCTTCGGACCCGTTTAGCCTCGCAGTCAGGACTCCGGCTTAGGATTTTTCAGCTTTGTAGATGTCAGTAAGAAAGACAAATCTGCATGAGTGGTAAATTTGGGTCCTTGTATACGTTATTCTACGATTATTGTAAACGATATAGGGGCATAAGGGGGTTCGCACTGGGCTTATAGGGTTTATAGGGACAACCCCCGAATGCTTAGTTTGTCACGCAGATCAGGTGTTGCAGCGCCGCCCTCTCCCCACATGCCAGTGGCAGGGGCAGATTTGCTGCTGGACTGCATACAAGCATCGCCCAACCTGCAGAATAAAAGGGCCGAGGTGTTTAGAAGTGTCAAGTAATTGGAGCAATTGAGAGCAACATATCAGCCATTCTCGCATCTTGGTTCAAGCCGCGTACTTTCTTGCCCCAGCTTGATAAGAGGAAGTGTTCCTACCCCCGCACCCGCAAAAAGAGAGAATGGCCATCGGAGTGGTAGCGATAGCCCTGTCGATCCTGTCTCCACCGGCCAGCTCGACTTTGTGCGAGCCGGTATCGATGCAGGCGACAATCCCAACAACCGGTTACCTACATGGCTACCAGATGGCCATGAATGCGGAAGGCGACGTTTTCCTAGCAACCTCTAGATCATCATCGCTGGAGGGATGGGTCAACTTCGGTGGCCTCGACCTCGTCGTGATGAAGTACAACGCCAGCCTCGTCAAGCAGTGGGAGTTCCAGTACGGCTCGGCGGCGGATGATGCAGTCAAGGGGCTGGCCTTGACTGCAGGTGGCGAACTAGTCGTCGCAGGCGAAACTCAGGGGACATTGTTCGCTCCCCACGGTGATAACAACGACGTGTTCATTACGAAGCTCCCCGTTGCTGGCATCGCACCCGACACCGTACCCGGCAGCGGCAGCTTCTGGGTGAGCCAAGCGAGCAACAACTATTACGACGTGGTTGGCGTGGGGGGTGTGGCGGTGGCCCCCAACGGCGACCTCTTCGTCGCGGGCGAGACCCGCGCCTATCCCTACAATGACGTGCTCGTCATGAAGTTCACTTCCAGCGGCATGGCATGGAGAAAGCAGTTCGGCAATGCGAGCGAGAATGAGTTTGGACAGCGTGTGGCTTTGGGCGCTGGCGGCCAAATTGTCGTCTCGTTCAGAACCGTCTCCCGCTACTCTCCGTATCCAAACACGTTTGGTCTTGCGAGCTTCGACGCCGACGGCACATTGCAGTGGTCCCAGGAGGTCGACAACAATTCCTCGAACGAGGAAAAGGCCTTGCTCGTGCTTTCGGGCGGGGACATCCTCCTCGCAGGGGAAACAAGGGGATCCATGCCGGGGTTCACGAACATGGGCTCAGGCGACGGAGTCATGGGCCCAGGCGACGCAGTGGTCATGAAGTTCAGTGCCAGCGGCACGCTGCAATGGACGCAGCAGTTCGGCACTTCCGAGCTTGACCGTGCGGAGTGTCTCTTGGAGGATGTGGATGGCGGATTCTTCCTGGCAGGCAGCACTTGGGGATCGATGCCAGGGTTCACCAACGATGGTGGCTATGCCGTGTTCGTGATGAAGTTTGACGCCGATGGTGCGTCGCAGTGGACGTACCAGTACGATATCTCCTGTTATCCTGACATTATGAGGTTGAACTCGGACGGCGAGCTCGTCATCGCAGGAGCGTCGGTCAGCGGCACCGTCTGCACTGCGAGGTTCCCGAATTCTCCTTGCCCGACGGCTCCTCCCCAAACGACATCTTCAGGTGCCCGCGCGGTCCTCGCATGGGTGACGTGCTTGGGGCTTGTGAGCATGGGTTGGGGAGCATAGCTTTAGCTGCGTCGCCGCCCAAAAATGCAGCGAAGGCGCAGTTGGGCCTCCGAGCCGCCGTGTGGGGGACTGCCAAGCAGGCCTCCGAGCCTCCGCGGTCTGAGCCAGGGGAGGCGTCCTTTTCTCTTTTCCACAGTTGACGGCCAGGCTTGCAACAGCAGGCTTCCAAGCGGTGTCAGAATCTGACCCCTAATATCGGCCCAGGAAACTGCTCATTTCCACGGGGGGAAATCTTTTCCGACCCGAAGGCACCAGCAGAGAAAAGGACAGCGCGCCAGATGCACTTGGGCAGGGAATCTAAGCTCGGCACTTGAAGGACAAACCTTTCCCCCCCCTGTCAGGGCTTATGCCTGCAACACTCCTGCAACTCTACGTTTGCCTAGATAGACAGAGTCTCAGGGAAGGCAAAAACAGGCTGTGAGATGTGCAGCTCCCTCGTTTCAGGTTGTATGCCAGGATTGCGAGAGTGGAGGAGCAGGCCTTCGGCCTGCGCTGCGTTGCGCTGCATCAGCTTGTGGCGACCACCCCCCCGAATCCTAGCACGCAGGGTTTGGGGCTTAGGGTTTAGTGGGTTTAGGGTTTGGGGCTCCATAACTGTCGTGGCTTTCGCTTCGGAAGCATGTTAGAGTCGCGGACCTGTCTCCCGCGGAGGTCGCTGCAGAGCAGCGCCTGAGATGTGAGACCGAGCAGCGGCTGACGCAGCACCTGAACTCCTTGGTAGGCCGGCCGGGGACATTTGCCACAGCGCTGACTCGGCAAGAAACGCAGCAATCAGGTGTCCAGCTTACCTTAAACCCTGAACCCTAAACGTTTTGGTGGTTCGGATAGCCTCTCAAGCCGATGGAGAGCAACCAATGAGAGAGATTTGCGCCTCCGATATGCAGGGGCCGAGCCATGGAGTCTCCTTAGGTTTGCGGGTTTAGTGTTTTAGGGTTGAGGGTTGAGGGTTGAAGGTTGAGGAGACGACGAGCCTGGGAATGCATCGCTGGCATTCACGTGTGTGGGGCCCATGTCGAAGTGGGGGCCCAGGACAGGACTGCCACGTGGACGTTAAGATTTTGCTCCAGAATTACATGGCACTCATGCTCCGTGTGTTTGTGCAGCCACCTTGTGACGCTGATGCAGATGCATGGCTTCCTACATCTTATCTGCCGGCTTAGGGTTTAGGGTGTGGGGTTTGGAGTTTAGGGTCTGGGGTTTAGGGGTTAGGGTTTAGGGTTTAGGGTGTAGGGAAGGTTGATTTTTCTTTTGAGTGGACGCAGCTCCTGTTGACCTTGCGGTCTGTGGCACCCTTGATTGCTTCTGTGGGACAGCATGCGTCGCAGCCCGATTTTTTGTTGGCTTTTAGTTTTGTTGAAGTCATTTACCGTAATCAAGCTGAAATTCTAAATCCTGGAATGAACATCTGCCGGCTTGAAGAAGAAACGCCTGAAGCCCTGCATTTCGCCTGGAGGTGTCAGCATCTCGGAGCAGCTCGACGTGCTGCGACAACAGCTGATCGAGGACCTTCCCTTGGGATGTTCCCCTTTATACCAACAGTCCTTAAAAGGCATCTGAATAGGGGCTACTATGATCCGAATCCCTATTAAGGCTGTTAGTATAAGGGTGAAGATCCCAAGTCTTGAGGCTTAAGATGTTGGGATAAGTTGCCATGCTTTCAGAGATAAACGTCAGTGACCCTCCTCCCAGAATTTGATTGACCCCAGCCCCTAATATTACACCCTGCACCCTCAACCCTCAGCCCCTGAACCCCACCCCCCCCCCCAACAAACCCTAAACCATCTCAGTGACTTTTCTGGGTATTAGAAATCGGTAGCAATGTTACGTATTGAAGACCTAAACTCTGTCTGTTGAAAGCTCTGAAGCGCTACGAACCCGCGAGCGAAACAGTGGAATGGGCCAGGTAGCATCTCCAGTCGAGCTATTCGAGGTGCCAGAGCCCATTACAAAACCCAAACCCCAGACCCCAAAAAACCCAAATAGGGTTTAGGGTTTAGGGTTTAGGGTTTAGGGTTTAGGGTTCAGGTTTAGGGTTTAGGGATGAAACCCTAAAAAACCCAGACCTCAAGCCGCAGCGCCTGGCCAGAAAAGCTTCTGAACCGCCCGTGCAGGAACGATGTCAACGGCAGGCTCCCCGCTGTTTAGGGCTTATAGGTGATATGCATAAATACAAATACAAATATAAATCTCTAAATCTAAGTATATATATATATATAGAGGCAGGGATTGTAGGGATTAACCCAGCGGTTCAACCCAATGCCAGCAAGCCAAGGATGATCAAGTTCCATTCCGTTCCGGTGTTCCGTTCCAGCTACCGGGGTGACATTTGGCCCCCCGCCTCTAGAGACAGAAATCCAACCCGTCGGCTGTTGGGAATTGATGCATAGGGATTCTGGGGATTAGACACTCCACCCTTTACAGAAACCACATAAGTAAGTTAACAAATGACAATAAGCAAGTTGCCTGTAGAGGTGGACATCACCTCCTTGCGCTCTGCACTCGAGGCTGTCAGGCCGAGCAGGGTACACGTCGGGAGTTTGGGTTTAGGGTTTACAAGGGTTCAGGGTTCAGGGTTAAGGGTTTAGGCGGTTTCAGGTTACAGGGTTTAGGGTAGTCAGGGTGTAAGGTTAAGGGTAGGGTGAAAAAGCTTGAGGTTTAGGATATCCCGCATTTGTGGATGGTTTTGGGAGTTGGGTGTACGGGTGTTTAGAGTGGTTGAGCTTAGGAAAATTTGCGGGTTCAGGGTTCAGTGTGGGATTAGTACATAAGCAGTCAGGGTTGAGGGTTCTAGCAGAGATTTCGGTTTTTTGTATTCATGTTTTTTTCTGTTGTGGGGGTGGGGGGGTGGGAGGACTCATGCGTGAAACGCTCCACCATCAAACCCACAAAGTCATCGCTAAGACATATCAGGCACTAGGGCTGAATTCATTGGGTCCCCAATGCTGATGGGGCTTGTATATCTTCCTGCTCAAACAACCCTAAACCCTAAACCCTAAACCCTAAACCCTAAACCCTAAACCCTAAACCAGTGCCCTAGAAACCCCAAGCCGAGTGCTAGCTTTGGTAGGGCTTGGGACTCCAGCTGGGGTTGAACGGCACCCGGAACCCTAAACCCTAAACCCTAAACCCTAAACCCCTTTCCAAGACTTCCCATTCTGTGCAGAATCTCTGGCGTGCGGTCTGGTGATCTCCAGGAGTGCTCAAGCCCAGACACTGGATGGGGAGGGGAGTGTGAGTATTTTTCAGGGTGTATATGGGTTCCGTTGGCTCCATTGCCTACACTTTTTCTATGTTTATATGGGAAATGCATACGAATTGGTAAGAGGTACATACTACCAAACTGCAGGTACAGAGCTACAGGCGCAAAAGCCTTTGGCGGGGATCTCATCTAGACACAAGGCACCGAGTCGTGACGTGAAAGGTTGATTGCTTTGTTCCCCACCTTCGGTGTGGGGTTGTTAGATTTTAAACTCAACTCTTCTCCTCACCCGGAACTCTTCTCCAGCGCGGTCTACTCCTAGAGGCTCCCTGGAGTGCCCAACCCCAGTGATTCCCTGGAGCCCCAGAGACTCCCTGGAGCCCACGAGCGAGGGATGGAGAGACTTCTTGAAGAGGAAGTTGGAAGTTCCTTTTTCGGGTTTAGGGTTTAGGGTTTAGGGCTTAGGTTTAGTAATCAGGTGCATCAAGTCTGAGCTGGACAGATCTATCGGAGACATCCGGACGCCAAAGTCTAAGCCACTGGTTGGGGGCGTTTGGCGTGTGAGGCTCTAGGAGTTTAAGGTTCGTGGTTCTGCTTCCAGGGTTAAGCCCCTAGTAGCTGAATGAGTACACTTTACACTTTTTGGGATACTATACTCCCCTATAGAACTGAAGGTGCAACATTTTTGGGGGGCTTCTGAACTCAGCAACTAAGAGCCCCAATCCAACCCAGCTCATGCTTCCCCATCCTTTCCTAGCTGAAACGCAAGAGAATGAATGCATGTTCTGCCGCTTGAAGGTTCATTCACAGTGGCATAGCTGTAGTCATAGCTAGGCAGCTAGGTATTCCCTTCTTTGGGGCACTTCTAACTTCTAGCCCTTCTTATAAACTATCCTTGAATCGTCACGCTCATGCAGAGAGGGCACTCGCTTCCCTTCTTTAGGGATGGGTTTCCTTATAAACCCCTTTGAAGAAATGAGGCTTCTCTGTTACTCCCAGGTGCTCTTGGCATGGAATTCTAAACGGCTCTAGTCTACAACTCCACCCACTGTATAACCCTAAACCCTAAACCCCAAACCCCAAACCCCAAACCCCAAACCCCAAACCCCAAACCCCAAACCCCAAACCCCAAACCCCAAACCCTAAACCCTAAACCCTAAACCCTAAACCCTAAACCCGAAGCTGCCGATGTAGGGGCTTCGGGCTTCAAACAGGGCTCCCACCGGCCAGTTGTGAGACAGCATGGGGACCTGCACGCTGAAATTTTTCTTCTGTTTACAAACGGGGGTAGAATTTCAGGGTTTAGAGTTTAGGGTTTAGGTGCTTATGGGTGTTAACTTTTGGTCCTAGACGAGTTTAGGCCTGGTTCACGATCCTGGGCTTCGGAGAAGGGCCCGCCCACTCAGGTCACTTGAGCAGACATGCTCAGTCAGCCCAGCGACGTCTGAAACAGAGCTGACACGCAGGCCGGGTCTACCTGGGCCTCTGTTTGCCTACAATAGGGGTTTAGGGTTTAGGGTTTAGGGTTTAGGGTTTAGGGAATCCCGGTAGCAGACCTTCTAGCTCATGGTGGTCTTCTGGTCGCTTCGGGGGTGCACAAATCCAAAGAAGGGACTGATTTTTTGGAGCTGACTACATGTATGCTAGCTGATGACCAGCAGCCTGGATTTAAACCCCTAAGCCCTCAGCGAGCGATGAGACGTGTGACAAAACTACCGCACAAACAAAGCAAAGGTCCCCCCAAACCACTCATAAAACTACTGAAGCCTAAACCCTAAACCCCAAGCCACTAACCCTAAACCCCAAACCCTTAACCCTAAACCCCTAAGTCCTAAAACCCCTAAGTCCTAAAACCCCAGGCTGGATGACTCGCGCCGCGCAGCGGACCACCGGTTCGAAGCTCTGGAGTCCGCCCTCAAGGAGGTGGGGGCTTAGGGCTTAGGGTTGAGTTGGGCTCAGGGTAGGTTTTAGGGCTTAGGGGTTTAGGGGTTTAGGGGTTTAGGGGTTTAGGGGTTTAGGGGTTTAGGGGTTTAGGGTTTAGGCACGGTTTAGGGTTTAGCAGGGGTTCGGTGCCTAGAGTGTTATTGTATTTATGGTCAATTGGGGGAGATCTGCATTTGCATTGGATGAGGTTTCAAGGGTACACTCTTCACTTTTGTTTGGTTTTCTTCGTTTCGGCTTGCAAGGGCAATGTAGGGAGTACTATTTTGTATTTTTCAGGGGCTTCTTAAGCAAACAGTAGAGTACAACAGCGATCAAGGGCACGTCGGGTATGTAGCGTTCAGACTTCAGGCTCTGTAGTGTTGATAGGATTCAGGACATTTGGGGGCTTGCGCCCTAAACCCTAAACCCTCAACCCTACACCCAAGTTCAATAAAACTGAAGGGCACGAGCGTTTGGCAGGCAACTGCTGCCGTGGCCAAAGCGGCGACTCCCGCCAGCAGATGTATTTAGGGTTTAGGGTTTAGGGTTTAGGGTTTAGGGGTTTAGGGGTTTAGGGTTTAGGGGTTTAGGGTTTAGGGGTTTAGGGGTTTAGGGGTTTCGGGGTTTCGGGGTTTCGGGTTTAGGGGTTTAGGGGTTTAGGGGGTTAGGGGTTTAGGGGTTTAGGGGTTTAGGGGTTTAGGGGTTTAGGGGTTTAGGGGTTTAGGGGTTTAGGGTTTAGGGTTTAGGTTATTTCCAGTAAGTGGGGTGTCAATTATGTGATTCTTGCCACCCCCCAAAACACTACAAAACCCTAAACTCTGAACCCTAAACCCTTTAATATGATGAATCTTATTGTGAATATTAGTAGGGCCTGCCCTGGGTCCTAGTACCCCTAAACCCTAAACCCTAAACCCTAAACCCTGAAGCAACAACCTGTCACTGGGGAAGAGGGGGTTGGACCCTTTAACATGTGCCCCAGGATGCCCCGGAATGGAAGCTCCCACACTGCTGCAATCCATTTTGGGCTTCTGGGAGCCTTTTGTAACCGGAACGCATAAAGTCCCTAAACCCTAAACCCTAAACCCTAAACCCTAAACCCTAAACCCTAAACCCTAAACCCTAAACCCCATCAACCCTCGACTAACCCCTCAGCTCTCGAGGCCTGCGGAGCAGTTGCAAAACCTTGAGCGGCAGACGCGCTACCTCGAGGTGTGGCCTTGTAAGCATCGGTTTAGGCTTTAGGGTTTAGGGTTTAGGGTTTAGGGTTTAGGGTTTAGGGTTTAGGGTTTAATCCGATGGCCGATAGGGGCGGCATAATAGGCCTTAAAGGGGTTTAAGGGTTACTGTGGTTGAGGGTGTTTGCACCTCGGGTTCAGCCGGGTTGCGGGCTTTTTGAGAGCAATCCTGAATCTTAGACAAGAAGGTATAGACGCCCAAGAGCTAGCACTCTCACTTTTCTCTGTTTCTCCAGGTCGTAGGTTTGAGAATCCAAGGCCCAATGACTAAACCCTAAACCCTAAACCCTCAACCCTCCACCCTCCACCCTCCACCCTCCACCCTACACCCTACACCCTACACCCTACACCCTACACCCTACACCCTACACCCTAAACCCTAAACCCTAAACCCTAAACCCTAAACCCCAACCCCCGAAATGCAGGAGAGGGCCGATTCCTTGAGCGCGAACATGGACTTGTTGACCACCACCGTGGAGTGCAGCCCTTGGTCCTTGCTTCTGCTTCCAATACACTGGTTTAGGGTTTTAGGGCTTTGAGGGTGTTTAGGGCTTTTAGGGTTTTTAGTGTTTTTAGGGTTGAGGGGGGTTTCGGTTTTAGGCTTTCATAAGGGGTTCCGCCCAGTGCGAACAATTCTGAATCCCCTAAGCCCATTGCAGGGTGGTAGAATCTGCCGCGAGGACGCAAGCCAGGCAGGCCCTCCAGCTGAAAGAGGACGTCTTGGCTTCCCTCGCTGGCAGCGGCAGCGAGGCGCCGGAGGTTAGGCATTGAAAGATGTTCACAAAGCGAAGAAGGGGTCTAAAGGCTGTTGTTTTTTTTTTTTTTCCCCCCCCCCCCTTGGCCGGCTCTGTCTGCATCCCAAGGATTGTGTTTTTAATGCAAGCCGTGCTTATGAGTCTGTGCCCTCATTGCGCGATGACTTGATGCAAGCAGTGGACAGGACGTAGGACTATGTACTACTAGTATTCCCTTGTGGTCCCTCTATAATTGTACTTTAATAACCCCCAAAACCCTAACTATTAAGGCTCCTATATTAGAACCCTTGGTCAAGACACACCTAGCGGCCGAGCCGCATCAGGAGAGAGGAAGCGATGGCAACACCTTCGAAAAGATTCAGGCCTGACAATGCCGAGGGCGTGCCGGTTTAGGATTTTGGGTTCAGTTTAGGGTTTTAGGACCAGTAGGCGGCCTTTGAATTTGAAGAGGTATTGTTGCGCGGCGTTCATGCATATGGGGGTTGTAGAAGGGTGGCATCAGGCTGCTTAAGTTGAGGCTCTTCCCCCTGGTTCTTAGCCCCATATACACCCTTTTCAGGCTGGGTTGTGCTTGGGGATAATTTTGCATTTCCCTTCTTTCCTTCTAAGGGGACCTAGTCATAAATAATTTTCAAAGGGTTTAACGCACAACTCAGGAGGGTATATAGGGTACCTCATTCCCTGCTAAGAACCAGCCAGTCTTGGCTGGCAGGACTTTGTGCGAGAGAAGATGGATCGGCTTCGTGTGGAGTGGAGCGGAGCCATGGAGGAGCTGCTGGCACGGGGGTTTAGGGTTTTAGCATTTTAGGGTTTTAGGGTTTAGGGTTTTAGGGTTTAGGGTTTGGGGTTTAGGGTTTAGGGTTTGGGGTTTAGGGTTGTAGGGTTTAGGGTGGATGGCAGGGAGGGGGGGGGGGGAGGACGTCCCAAAAATGAGGGAAGGCCTCAGTGCATTTCTGCAGTTGCTTCTTGAGGGTTTGGGGCTGTCATGAAAGCATTGACGTGCCACTCAAGGTAGCAGGCAAACCATGTGAGCGCAGAAGAGAAATCATGAATCCCGGTAGTTCCCTGACCACAAGCATACGTTTACTCCTTATTGCCAAACGCTAAGCTGCGCAGGAATTGAACATAGGTGAGTGTATTATAATCCATGTGGGTATTTCCCAAAATAGGATACCCCTGTTATACCCTAAATGGAACAGAATCCCTTAAATGGACCCCCCCCCCCCGCAAAAAAAAAAAAAAAGTACCCCTATCTTCGGAAACCCCCATGTGCATACTCCCAGTGAGCTGGTTTCCGCGCGCCATCTCGAGGGAGTTGCGAGAGACGTTGGCCGAAGGTAGCTGCCAGAACTTTGCAGAAGAACCACACGATGCTCAACAGGTAAAGAATTTTCACAGGTAACAAAAAACACCTGCATACTTACCGCAGAGTGGGGTCTTAGACTTAGACTCTGTCGTTGGACAGGGTTGCAGGGCATTGAGGTTCCAAAAAAACCGCGGCCATGGAAGGGATGACGGGATATTGGGGCCCACCGACGGCCACCATGGACTGGTGTGAGCGCAACTACATTGTGACTCTCGGCTGTGCTGGCTGTAAGAACGGGGGGGAAGGGTATTGCTGACCCTAAACCCTACAGCAAACCCTAATTAAACCCCGAACTTTAACCCTCAGAGCCTGAATCTTGCGGTTTGCATGGCAGGGGGGGGGGGACCCTTTCGAGTGCGCGAGGGCTCCTGCTCTCTCCTCTCGGGGAGTCCATGAACTCAGCAATCGGGGGATGATGTACCTTGTGCTAGTGTGCTGCTAGAATCCCGCTTTTTTACGCAAGTGTTGCGCGAGGTTCAGGGCTTCACTGGCGAGATATCCCGGAAACTCTACGAGCCTTAAGCCCCAAGTAGGTTGCATTCAGAAGCCCGAGAGTTTGCGAAAGCTGGGTTGCCGAAGATGCCAAAGGGGTTGCTTGTTTCCCTCGAATAGCGACTGTATCTTCCAAATACTAAATCGTGATTTTCTGAATCCCCTCCCCCAAAATGTAGCCTTATGTTTTTTTTCATATTAGGGAAACCTCATCGTTTCGGGTTTGGGGTGTGCGCGATTTTGGGCGAAGCCAGGCAAGCCCAGACTACCAAGGAGTTAGAGGGTAGGGTTGAGAGGGTTTGGGATTTAGGGATTTAGGGTTTAGGGTTCAGGGGTTCGGGACGAGTCAGAAGTCAGAGATTAGGACGTCCTACGCTGCGGAGTTTTTCAACGCCCTGACGTCCATGTTCATTGCGGTCGCCGGCTTTCTTCCCATCCTTGTCCACTTCCGGAGAAGAGACTGCATGGAATGGAGGCACTTAGGGCTTATAACTGGGTTTTGGAGTACTATACTTTAATACATCCTTTAGTTGTGGGTTCCTATTTTAGCTTCTTATACCTAAAACGTATATGCATCATGTGGGGCAGGGCCCCTATGATTGTTTAGGGAAGGGTTCTCCTTGTACGCTGAGCAGAGATCATGAGGAAGCATCGGCGAAAGCTGCAAGCTAGGAGAAGGATCGCCTGCATCACTTGCACCCAAGCCGCCCTGACACCCACAACCGCGTTGTTGGCAACGTTTGAACTTGCGGTGTTTTCTCCGTTCAGACGAGTTCCAAGAACAGCTCAGAAGACCTAGACCCCGAACAAAAGGTTCATCATCGCCTTCTTGAGCGTAACGGTCGTGGGCTTGGGAAGCGTCGCATTCCATGGGACACTGCTCTTCGAGTACCAGCGATGGGACCAGGCGCAGAGCAACCAAAAACATACGGCTAGGGTTCAGGGATTTATGTTTTGAGGGTTCAGGGTTTGGGGTTTCTGAGGCCTCGAAACCCTGAGCGCTCCTTCTTTTCCCAGCCCTTCAACCCTTAAAGGCCTTTTAATTTTAACGCTACGCGACCCGCCTCGGCCCGGCCCAGCGCATCCGCGTGAGCATGGTGATTCCGCAGCGCCCAAGTCGCTGGACCCCAAGCAATAAGGGTTGGGTTGAGGGTTGAGGGTTCCGGGTTTATGGTTTATGGTTTGGGGTTTGGGGTTTGGGGTTGAGGGTTAGTTTAGGGCTCAAGGTTCACGCTTTGGGGTTGAGGGTTTTTTTGGGTTTAGGGTTCGGCTTGGAGTGATCGTAGGGTTGAGCCAGGCCCCTTAAGGTTTAAGGCGACTCTTCGGCAGGGTGGGGGGGAGGGGGAGGTGGGGTGGGGGGGGGGTGGGTGGTGGGGGGGGGGGGGGGGTGGGGGGGGGTGGGGGTCATTTGAGGCCAAAAAAAGGGTGCGAAAAGGGCTTTGGGTGTAGGATTTGGAGGTGCCTGTTCTGACAACCTATACACCTCCGGCCCGAGGCCTCGGCGCATATGGCCAGCCGAGGGGAGATTTGGTGATTGCTGGAGTTTTGCGTTCAGCTTTTGGCTTTTGGGGGGCTTCGTTTGGGGCTTGCAAAAGGGGGGTCTCAGGAGTGCCCTCGAAGCCTCCCCCCAAGACTGCTCTAAGGCCATGGCAGGGGAATCTCCCATGTAGTGATGGGTAGACCCTAAACCGTTAACCCCAAACCCCACACCCCAAACCCTAAGCCCTAAACCCTAAACCCCACAAACCCGAAGCCCTTTAGATTAGACCCCTAAACCGCAGAAGAACAGAGAAAGCTGCTGCCCAGGTGCCGATGCTGTGGACCGTGGTTCCTGGCCTGTGCAGCGGCAAAGTTTTGATCTCGCCCTAAACCCGCAATGAAAATTACCTCCTAGCGTAGTAAATCCCTATAAGCCCTAGGAATGCCACAAATGACTCGTGGTACGCAATGCGCAACCCCGCGCTCAAGAATGCACTAAGGCCATAGTTCTCTACGTCCTCTTCGAACAGAAGCATGTCAAGCCCACCTACCGCATCTTGCCCGTGGCCTTGCTGCTTGGCTGGGTTGTTCAAGGGGGTGTTCAAGGGGCCCTACAAAACTCCGTAACCTCTGTAAAGCATATGAGCCCCAAAAAGTCGTATAAGCCCTATAAACCCTCTAAACCCTCTAAACCCTAAATCCTAAGAAAGGGTGTTTTAGGCTTTGGCTTACTGGGCACCCAGCTCTGGAATCCCAGGTTCGCCTATGCCGCGGTTGCCACGCTCATGACCTCCGAGCGCAGTGGAAACAAGCAGTGGTTCTCCTTCCACGCGTTTTTTGGGCTGGCCACCTTCCTCGCGGTCTGCAAGGCACAGAGGTAGTGGGACGGTTGCCGCACCAGATGAGGGACCTTTATGCTTGTTCTTGGTGAGTGTATGTAGGGCTTCCTTAAACTGGTGAGTGTATATGTCTTGGGTGTCCTTGCTGGGCCCTTGGTTGTCCTCTTTGGTATGGAGAGACTGCCACAGAGCACCAAGAAATTCAACCACCAAAAAGGGTTCAACTACCGGCTTCAGGAGCTAGACGGTGTCTATACAATAGGCAGCTATTGCACCTGCAGGAGTGTAGACCTAGAGCGAGACTTTCGGACCAACAAAACTACCCTTGCCTCCCCCGGCGGTACCAATTGACCCCCACGAAGAGCGCTGCATTGTCAAACGAGTCCGTGACCCGAAGCCGTAAGATCCCTGAGCCCTAAGCCCCATTGATAGAGTCCAACCTTCGTTTTACTGGTTCTTCGTCGAAGAAGGGAGTGAGCTATCCTATAGAATCCCTTAATGGGTATATATATATATATATATTGGGGTATACAAGGCACTGCAATTACCAAGTTCTCTCATTCCCTGATAGAGTTCAGAAGCTGGCAGGTGACGCTATTCTACCGCAGCTTGCCCAGCGAAATGCCAGAGTTGAAGAAGGTCATGTCGTTCCTGAGCTGCCTTCTTTTTTCGGGTTTAGGGCATTGGTTTCCTTTGCTTTGCGCGAATGCGGCATGGATTTTCGTGGGTGTTAAAGCCCTAACACGCTGTGAATCTTCGTATTCCCCGCCTTGCATGAAACCTTCGAGCTGGCAAAGCTTGATCCTTTATCCCCAGGTTTAGAACCTCGCCCCGGTTAGGTTTGAGGATTTGGGATGTAGTGGCTAAACTCTTCTTGGAGGTTCATGGGTGGTTTTAAGCAGGGTTCTAAGTATGGTAAGTATGCTTCTAACCCCACTTATAGCCCGACTGATAACTACCCATGAACCTCCAAGTAAGTATACTTATAAGCCCTTTAAGGCCCCTGCTTATAGCTACCCATGAACCCCTAAGTAGAGGGATGCAGTTTCAAGGCACGGCTTCGTCGCACTGTTGGTCGCGATCTCCGTGTGGCTGATGGACCTGAAGCTCTGCGACCAGCTGCACATGCTGCCAGGATCTTTCTTGGTGCCTTTTGGTCCTTTTTTAGGGTTTAGCGTGGTTTAGGGTGGTTTAGAGTGAATTAGGGTGGTTTCGTGTGGTTTAGTGGTTTAGGGTGGTTTAGGGTGTTTAGGGTTTAGGGTTTCGGGTTTGGAAACCCTGAGCCCACCCTGAAACCCGAAATCCTCAACGACCTTAGGCTGCCGGCCTATGACTACTGGAACTTCCACGCCTGGGGGTGGCACCTCATGGTTTCATGCGGCCTCTACAACATTCTGGTCGGAATTTGGTACCACCGCTTGAAGGTTGTCCTGGAGAAGGATGTGAGCTTGCGCCTGTCACCCATTCCTCACATCGTCTTTGTGTCCCCAAAGCACAGTGCCACTGAGCTTAGGGCCACGTCGAGCTCTACTTAAAGTAGCTTACCAAGCTTGCAACATTGTAAAGCCCATCAGATGGAACCCACGATTTGTCGAGTGCATGTGTCGAGCACATCCATGTCATAGATGGCTGAGGGGCCACCGCTCGCACATGCCTTCGGCAAGCATCCGCCACGGACAGCTGGTTCGGCGGCTTGCAAAAAGCTGCGATGTATTCACCTTGCCGAAGCCCTGCACGACGGTCCGAAGTGAGGCAGCCGTTCGCCCGCTCCTAGCCTCGTGGCCTCCCCCTCTTCGTTTCTTATGACTATACATTTTATACGGTTTAGGCTTGTTCGATTATATCATTATATCATAAAGTCCTTCGGACCTTTGGTCTCAGATGCGTTTCTGTCCCACACCCACACACACACATCAACAGCTTGCATCCATGCAACCCTGAAGTAATAAAAGTGCTTATTCAATCATATTCATGTAGTTTGCACAGCTAGTTGTCAGTACAAGGTCATTCTTGGCTTTGTAGACGTCCTACCGAAGCAGGGTTGCGGTTGCTATAGTTAGTATAGTTACAAGGTCGGTTGCTTCAAGTTGTCGGGCTGTCAAGGTCTAACTGTACTAGTCGATTTCATTTGGGTTTTCCCTTGGGTGGTATTTAGAGTTTTGGGTTTCGGGTTGGTGCGATAAGCCCTAAGCACGCAACCTCACATACCAATCTTATTCATGACGACTGGTGCCCGTTCTAGTTGGAACACGCCTTTACATCGCACCAGCCTCATACCTTTTCAAGTTCTTCTGTGGATCCCATCTCAGCACCCTAAACCCTAAACCCTAAACCCCTGTACGTTTCAAGGAGGAACGGTCCCGCACCATGGAACGTTCCCAAGCGCTGAGCCGGGCGCTGACGGAGGACGGGCGTCAGGGTTTGTAGGGTCTTGCTATATGGGTTTAGGGTTTATGGTTTGGGGTTTGGGGTTTAGGTTTGGGATGTTCCCGCTTTTACTAACAGTCCTTAATAGGGACTATAGTACCCCTCTTACAATCCCGACTAAGGACTGTTAATGTAAGGGGAACATCCCAAGTTTAGGGTTAAGCATCAAGGGTTCAGGGTTTCAGGGTTTTATGGTTTAGGGGTTTCGGACTATCAGGGTGTAAAGGGTCTAGGAGTAGGGCTCCCACAACGGCTTTTCGGGTTTGGGCCTGTACTTTCAAGACCTTGTCGCAGACAGCCATGCCACCCAAGAGATGCATTTAAAGTTTAGGGTTTGTAGGGTTTGGAGCTTGCAGGGTTTAGGGTTGAGGGCTTGAGGGCTTGAGGGCTTGCAGGTTCACCCTCCCAAACTCGAAACCTGAGCCAGGAGTTTGAGCGCAGCATCGTGGCCCAGGCGGTCGCCGAGGCTTGGCCACCCTTCTGTTCTCCTAGGTTCGCGGGAAGGGTTTAGGGTTTAGGGTTTAGGGTTTAGGGTTTAGGGTTTAGGGTTTAGGGTTTAGGGTTTAGGGTTTAGGGTGCACCAGCCATTTTGAGCCACACACCATAAACCGCTGAATTTCGCAGAGCTCGGGGCTCAGGGAGGGTCTTTTTAGTGCGAACTTGGTGGGGCCCCTGAAGCAGTGGAAGTTCAACAGCCGCGCAGATCCCATGTTAAGGTGGGTGGGGTGTAGGGTTCTACTCGCGCTTTGGTTCTTAGACAGGAATGAGGCAATTGGGGTACCATATATATATATACATATGTACATATTCATTTTCCCTAAGATGTATACCGGGGGATATAGCGTACGTACTGCCCTCTTGCCCTACTAGGCTACTAGGAACCAGTACAAAACACCCTAAACTTTCAACGGTTTAAAGATCTTGGGGTTTACAGTTTCGAGTCTCGGGTTGGTGTTGGGTCTCCAGCAAGAAGCACCGTGTCATGCACAGGCGTGTGGACTCCTAAGCCTCCCCGAGCCCAGGGTTTAGGGTTTAGGGTTTAGGGTTTGGGGTTTAGGGTTCAGGAGATTCCAACAAAACTAATGCTCTGGCACCCCTAGGCATGGGAAGCAAGGAGTTGGTTCTAGGGGAAGGCCAAACACTCCTTCAAGGTCTTTAGTATAGGGCCTACTTATGAAGTTCAAGGCGCAGCGTAACTGTGGCACAACCCTAGCAGCGCACTAAGCCCGAAGCCCTAATTCCGAAGCCCTAAACGAAATCCTAAACCCTAACTGAACCCTGAACCCTACGTCTCTAAACTCTAAACCCTAAAGCCTAGACCCTAAACTCTAAACCCTAAACCCTAAGCCCTAAACCCTAAACCCTAAACCTTGCCCCACCCAACACACATCCCGGAGGCCCGGACGGAAGCGCGTTCCGCCGTGGCTGCCGAGGGCAATCGTGCCAGCGACGCTGTCCAGCAGGCTCCGAACCCTAAGCCCCACATAGAATTTTAAGGGTGTAGTGATTTAGGGATGAGTCAGGGCAGTGTATAGTTCGGGTTTGGGGACTTAGGATTTAGGGACATAGGGTTTAGTTAGGGTTTAGGGACTTCATAAGGTGTAGGACTTAAGGCTGAGGGACTTGGGACTTAGGGGTTGGGTTGAGATGGATGCTTCTAGGTTTTCATGCATTGGGTGGGCAGTTCCGAGATGCAGAGACTGGGATGTCTTTCATGTGCTGGTGCATCAAATGCTTCTGCAGAAGGCTGGGTTTAGGGTTTAGGGTTTAGGGTTTGGGGTTTGGGGTTTAGGGTTTAGGGTTTAGGGTCCTAGCAGGCAACATCAAGGCAACACGTTTCACTGTGCTCACCATCTGACTTCGAAATCGAAGCCGCTGATCGTGAAGCCTAGACCCAGTGGAGTCCTTACAGTAGTACGATCCTGGCCTATAAGCTCTAAAGCCTGAAAACCTCGACGCGATCCAACGTCCATGAAGCTCCTATCCCTAAGCTTTGAGCCTCCTAAGACGAGGCGAAAGTCCGAATGCAGCTGCGTAACTCAAACCTTCAACTGCAAGAACGAGCCCGACACGTCATGTAGGCAGAGGCCCAGCATGGACTGTTAAATAGTCGAGTCGATGCTGCGCTCGTACTGATCATATCTGAGCCGGTCTGCATGGTCCCCATGGTCCTCGTCAGGCAGTGCGCCGGAGAGGCGCAGCTTCTGGCCAAAGTTTTGCCGACACACCCACCACGCCCTTTGCGCGGATACCAGCAAGGCCCCCTACCTCGAGAGTCTTGGAGTGGGCTACGTGGGCTACAGTCGACGGGAGACTGTCGATGGAGATCCATGCGAGCTGGGGCAACGCGGCGTCGCGCGTTTGAGCGCGGCCGGCTTGCCCCGCAGCTCAGACTACGCCGGGCCGCGGTGATCACCGGCCTGATCCTGGCGTATGCTTGGTACTATGTTTGCCGGTACTCACTGACCTACGCGGGCCCTTCCCTGGTCCAACGCCAGGGCCTGGATTTGCGGAAGCTCGGGTTGATACTCAGCGCGGGTCAGATCACCATCGGCCTAAGCAAGGTGCTCACAAGTGTCCTGACGGTGGATCTTCCCGCATCCTGGTGTTTGGTGCTGGGCCTCTTGCTTACCGGAGCCTGCAATGTCCTGGCCGCTTGCCTCCCATCCTTGCGGCTCACCTTGATGCTGGCGGTGGCATCTCGGGCCGTATTTGACAACACCAACCCGAAACTCAGACCCATAAACCCTATGAGTCCTAAATCACCCTAAACCCTAAACCCCACAACACAGGTTCAAGGTCACCCACCAGCCCTTACACCAGAATCCGAGCTTGGGCCCCTCAGGTGTGGGCTTTCAACGGCCTCTTCCAGGGCTTGGGGAGCCCCTCATGCGCCCGCGTCATCAACGAGTGGTGTGGTCCCAAGGAGCGTGGGCTCTTCTGGTCGATCTGGAGCCTTAGCAGAACTGCATGTGCATGGGTACCTGAGGCTTTGGTCATGCTTCCAAGGAGGGTCTACCTGACTGAGTGACCCTAAGAATTTCAAGAGGGGAAACTGCGTGATCCGGGTGTGTGGGTGGTGGGGGGAGGGGGGAAAGACATCTATAGGATGCCCAGCGGTGCTCCTTGATCCCTTGTTGGTAGATTACGAGCCCAAACAAAGCCCTGTTTGAACAAGAAAGGGGTACAAAGCCCTGTTTGAACAAGAAAGGGGTATCCACCTTGTGTCCTTTAAGATACTGGCACTGGGGATCCCAGATAAGGAACTGCTCCAACAACTTGGGGGGAGCCCTAGCCCCAATGATGGTCAGCATCGGCCTCTCCTTGTCGGGGCACTGGCGTGACTGGGACTGCTCCGCTTCAGAATATGTGTTCATGTTAAACGCTTAAACGGGCTGTTGAAGAGAAAACTGTACATAGAGACCACCCCAAACCCTAAACCCTAAACCCTAAACCCTAAACTTACCCTAAGCCCTAAACCCTAAAACCCAAAATGGCCCATCATTTTGATCGCCCCCAAACAGATATACACGTTGTTGGTTGTGGACGGGCTTTTCCGAGCCGCGGGGCACCAACTGTAACCCTGAACCCTGCATCCCCAAACTCCTAAACCCTGATCATCCCTAATCCTGTTAAACCCTAAACCCTAAACCCTAAACCCTAATTAAACCCTAAACCCTAAACCCTAAACCCTAAACCCTAAACCCTAAACCCTAAACCCTAAACCCTAAACCCTAAACCCTAAACCCTAGCCCTAAACCCTAAACCCCCGAGATTTCAAGGACGGCCTAGGTGGGAGCCTGCTCCTTGCCGGCCTCAGTGCCGTTCCGGCCGCTTTGGCTGTGGCCGGCCTGGTGCGCGAGTCCCCACAGACCTGCGCAGAGGGCCCGGCCCCCGAGCCCAAGGCATGGAGTGTAGGGTTTAGGGTTCGGGTTTAGGGTTTAGGGTTTAGGGTTTAGGGTTTAGGGTTTAGGGTTTGTAGGGTTTGTAGGGTTAGCGCGTCAAGCCCTTACAAAAAGAGGCCCCCGAATGTTTGGCAGCGCCGGCCTCTGGCAGCCTTCGGGGCATGGAGCTCTTCTGGACCGCCGGACATGCAGCTCTAGGTATCCTACGTCCCCCCACTTCGGGTTTAGGGTTTAGGGTTTAGGGTTTTGGGTTTCAATCATCTCTAACCCCCCCCCCATACGAAACAAAGAAATGCCCTGAAATCCTCAACCGCCTGGGCGTTTTTTTTGTGCTTTCTGGTAAGGGGCCCTAATTAATAGCAACCCCCGCATCCTAAATCCCCAACACACTTTGGGTCTGGGTCAGGGTTTCGACTTCTGTTTTAGGTTTAGGGCCGGGTTTTGACAGATTGGGTGTTCCCCCCCTATACAAACAGTCCTTAATAGGGATCATAGTACCCCCTGATTATAATCCCTATTAAGTTTGCATAATGGGGAACATCCCAACCCTAAACCCCAAAACCCTAAACCCTAAACCCTAAACCCTACACCCTAAACCCTAAACCCTCGAAGTTTCAGGTGGGCCCCTTCTACCCAAAAAGGAATGTACTGGAATTGAAGCTCTCATCGGCCCGTAGGTTTGCCCAACGCCCTAAAGCCTATAGGGTTAAGGGTTTGGGGTCTGGGGTTTAGGGTTTAGGCTTTCGGCTTGAGGCTTTATGCTTTAGGCTTTAGGCTTTATAAACCTAAGCTTAATCCGAATTTTCAGGAGAGGCTGCCTGAAAGAACCCGGCCTGGGGAACTTGGCGCTGGCGAACTTCTTCATCTTCGGCGTGCGTGCGGCCCTGATGAAGCTCAGCCGACCCGGGAGCTAATAAATCATCACAAAACAATAAGAAGAATGATACGAGTACTGAACGCAGGTCTCAATCACAACGCTAATCATTTCACCAAGCATAGGGTGTAGCAGTATCAAAGGCAACAACAGCAACAGCACCAACAAGAATGACAAGGATTAGCTGTCAGCATTGGGTGTGCTTGGTGCTTAGAAGGCCCTTTTGGGGGTGTGGGGCTACTTTTGACCTTGTATTCATGTTAATGTATAGTACTCTTGTTATTCGTTGAAGATTGGGGCTTCCGAACTTAGGGGGGGTATCTTTTTGGGGTCCTTATTGTAGGGGAATCCTACTGTTTGGGGGACCATCTTAGGGGTCCCCTATACCAGGATGGGCTATTGGGCCCTAGAACCCCTTAAAGGGACTTTCGGGCCTAGTAGCCCATCCTGGTAACGGTTGACTGCGAGGAATTGGCTGGCCTTTCACCTCTTCCACGGTTCGGCGCAGGCTGCGGCGCCCTACTTGAGCGCCTTTGAGCTCGGGGGTCTGCTACTGGGGAAGTTTTGTGGTGCCCGTTGTCCCCCCGCTGTTTTTTTATAAGGGGTAGGTTCCCTTGAAACTTGTTATAAACCCATGTAAGCCGTGTAAGCCCTACCTAAACCCCAAACCCTAAACCCTAAACCCCAAACCCCAAACCCTAAATCCTAAACCCTGAACCCAGGCTCGGCAGTATCTCCTCTGGCTCCTTGAGCGACCGCTGGTGGCAGACGAGGGGCAGCGAAGCACCCCTCACTGGCAGCCGTATTCAGGTGGGTGGGTGGGGGGGGGGGGCATTTTCTATGATGTGGGTAGTGTTACCTGGGTCCCTTTTTAGGGTTTAGGGCTCTAAATCAAGGCCCCTTTTTCTGGCCTACATATCTATGTAATACTAATAATGATGATGATGATAATAATACAATTTATAGTTATAATTATACCCATAATGATAATAATAATAACCATTATTCTTATTATTATTAAACTGTTATACATATGTGGCACCCTTAGAGTAAGGACCCCCTCCAAAGAAACCTCAAGTACTTAAAGAAACGGGCTTTGCTTCCCTAAACAGGGGTACCCTTTTCGTGTTCCCAGAATAAGCATCATAGGGGGTATATTTTATTGTTCGTACCCATGTCGTCGGGATTTGGGAAGCACCCATACGTGCATTTCAGAAGCAGTATACGCATACTTCCCAACATAAAGCAGAAGCACCATCGTGGCAATATCACAAGAGACGACGAAGCATGAGTTTGTACATGTTTGTACGCCCGTTTGCCACTCATTTGTCCTACGTAGCCTCCCCTTTATATATATATATATTTATATTTATTTATATTTATAGTTATAATTATATTTATATTTATTTTCATACTTATATTTGTATTTATATTCATATTCATAACTTTTTAAACAAAGACCCCCCCCCCCCCCCAGGTCGCCGTGGCTGCTGCCACCTTCCTCCTGCTGCCGGCATCGCTGGCCCTTGCCTGCTTGGATCACGCTCCCAGGCTCCACTTCGCCGCCATGTTCGTGGGTGGCTTGGGAACGAACTGAACACCCTAAGTTGGGATGGCATACTCTACCCTGAGAGTTTCTGTTAAGACATGTATGTGTGTGTGTGTATGTGTGTGTGGAGCCTTAATTAAGTCCTTTGTGTTCATTTGGTCTCCAAGGCGGCTTTGGGCTCTACGTGGCTCAGGCCCTTTCGGCACTTTGCGGCTTGGAGTCCGTGTCAGCCCGCGCGGCGGGAGTCTCCCAGGGCCTTCTGGGCTGGGCAGCCTACACGGGTGCGGCAGCTTCAGGCCTTCCCCTCAGCTGGCTCATCCAGGGACCTTGGGGCTGGAATGCCTGGCGGGCCGCGCTGACGCTGGGCTGCACGGCTATCACTGCTCTTCTGCTCCCGCTGTGGCGGCTTCCCTCCTATGAACAGCGTAGGAGGAAGGATGAGGACAGAGAAGATGTGCATCGTCTGAAAAAAGTTAGGCCCATGTCGAGTCGACCGATTTCCGGCAATGCCTTTGTTCTTTCAACAAATCATTCGCCTGGCTCAGTATGTGTTCACTTCATCTGATATGGCTCGGCGAGCCCTGTGTGATGCAAAGCTGATCCATCAGGGTTCGAGGTTCAGGCCTTGGAGTTCTCTCTGCCTCCCACCCCAGATGCACACCACGGTCGGATTCGTTCCCTAAACCCGAAACCCTAAACCCCAAACCCCAAACCCCAAACCCTAAACCCTAAACCCTAAACCCTAAACCCCTTCAAACCCTTAAGCTCAAACCCCAGAGCCTGGATGGAGCCTCTGGCCAGGCCGTGCACCAACTGAGCCAGGAGTTGCTTCAGCTTTGGGAGTTAGGGTTTAGGGTTCAGGGTTTAGGGTTTAGGGTTTAGGTTTAGGGTTTAGTGTTTAGGGTTTAGGGTTTAGGGTTTAGGGTCCCTTTGCCCAATGTGATATCTGGGATTTCGGAACCCATCAGGGTCACATGTGCCTCGGCTAAAGCAGGTGTGTACAACCCTAACAACCTAAACTATTGCCCTGGGGGATTCAGCCGCGGAGGACCTGGAGGCGCTTCGTAAGGGCCTCGCGCAACGCGCCACGGAGGATGTTTGGGGCTTCCGGGGCTTAGGGGCTTGTAGGGTTCAGGGGTTTCGGGTTTATAGTTTAGAGGTTTGGGGCTTGTAGGGTTTTAGGGTTACTGTAAAGTCTTGGGGATTAGGGTTTGGGGTTGGGTATAGTAGTTGCAGAGTCTCTCGGCCGTTCAACCCCAAACCGTCAACTTCTTTCAGTATTTCTGTCTAGGGCTTCATTACCCAGGAAAGCCCAATACCCCTTAAATGAGGAAAATGCCTTAAGTATATAGGATCCTTAATATGGTTTAAGGTATATTCCTTGCTTAAGGGGTATTTGGGCTCTTTGGGTATATGCGCCAGGACAGGGCTTCGACTACGAGTGTCGATGTCGCCAAGTTGGCGGAGAAGATCTGTCAGGCCAGGTCCCCAAAGAGCCCAATTAATACCCCTTAAAGAAGGAATATACCTTAAATTTTATCGGGGTCCTGCAGATAATTTAAGGTATATTCCTTATTTCAGGGGTATTGGGCTTTCTGGGTCGAGCAGAGGGGTTTTTGCTGCCGCCAAGGATTGTTCCGGAGAGATTTGGCCCTTGGCCTTTTACTGGCAGAGGTAGAGCACCGAACGTAATGGAGATCCTTCATGAAGCGGTTTTTGGGCGAGGCTTCCGGGCCCACAGTTTCTCCGTAAGCACTTCCGTTTCAAGCGCAAGCCAAAAACTGTGAATTTGTTGTATCTGCTCACCGCATCTTGGATGCTGTGACCTGGGTAGCTGCTGTAATGCTTGGGTAGCTGCATGCTGATGCTGCTGCTGCTGCTGCTGCTGCTGCTGCTGCTGCTGCTGCTGCTGCTGCTGCTGCTGCTGCTGCTGCTGCTGCTGCTGCTGCTGCTGCTGCTGCGGCTGCGGCTGCGGCTGCGGCTGCGGCTGCGGCTGCGGCTGCGGCTGCGGCTGCGGCTGCGGCTGCGGCTGCGGCTGCTGCTGCGTCTGCTGCTACGGCTGCTACGGCTGCCGCTGCCGCGGATTGAGCTCCGACCCCGAGCAAACAAAGTAAGCAACATCTTGCCATCCTCGCAGATGGGGCACTTGCCCGCCAAAGTACCGGAGTCACCAGGGATGTTGCTGTGCAAAGAACGGGTCCTAAACCCTTAAACCCATCCTAAACCCCCCGGCCTTGATCAGCCAAGTCGAGGGCTTCCTGGCGATTTTTTGTGGCCAGGAGAAGCTGGACAAGTTTGTGCTCCCGGAGCACACCCTGAAAGCACAGGTTCCGAAGGGAGGGGGGGCGGGGGTTTAGGGTTTAGGGTTTAGGGCAGGGTTTCGGGTTTAGGGTTTAGGCGTAAGAATCATCATCGTAGTGATGATCATAGTAGAGAGATGGACCTCCTGATCATGCTTGGAAGATCCCTGGACCCTCAATCGCCACAGTGTACTTTGTGAGCCACATCTCCAAGGACGGGTTGGAACCCATTGGCACCCAAGTTTTTGAGGACCAGGGGACAGAACTTGAAGAATAATAAGACAACACCTCGGCCAGCCATTCGTAGCTCCTTTCTGGGGCATTCAGATTCCGAACCCTTCAAGGAGCAACAAGAATATTTCAACCCTAAACCCCAAACCCAGGTGGGGGTTTACGAAAATAAGGGACCGCGAAAATAGACCCCGGTTAGTAGGATTCCCTTATAATCAGGACCCCAACAAAGTACTTGTACCCCTAATATCCGAAACTCCCAAGTGGAGAGCATGTCAGGCAGAGGCTTTGGAGCTGTTGCAGAACAAGGTGCAGCTGTGGGAAGAGCCCACGCCCTACAGAGGCTTAGAGTTTTAGGAGCTGATGATGCTGGGGTTGAGGCGTTTGGAGGTTTTAGGGGGGGTCTTTTGACTGTTTTGTTGGAGGGGTTTTTGCATGGCGTTGAGGGGTTTGGAGTTAAGGTTTGCGTGCGGCCTGGCATCCTTCTCGCCGTCCGAGACGCCATGTGACACCAAGGTCCTTGCGCACAAAGCTGCAGTCACTCATCAACAAAGTGGCACCTTGGACGACAATGTGCTGAGAATATCAACATGGGTTTGGCAGATCATACAGCACAATGTTTAGGGTTTAGGGCGTCTAATGGTGGCAATCCACCGCTTACATTGCTGAGTTTCGATGTTGCCCGCAGCTTGAGGACAGCAAGTGCTTGGAGGGCGTTGTGCCCATCCTCACAGAGATAGGCGGGGCATGGAACCCCACTACATGGTGGCCCCCTAGAGGCCCTTAGATGATTTAGGGTTTAGGGTTTAGGGTTTAGGGTAGTACGTATTTGAGTGGGGAACCGGGACTCTTGGGTCCGCGGGGATTCAAAGACCTTTGGGGCTTTGCTTCAGGACATGTAGAACAAGTAGGTTCTGAAGTTCTCAAACTTACAAGCCTTGCAAACCCAAATGCCTAAACCCTAAGCCCTAAAAGCCGAATTGAGGCCCTGAACCTCAGGGTTTGTTGCAGAGCCCTTGGGCCTGGCATGGCACTACGATCGCAGCCCTGCATGTAAAAAAGAAATGGCCCAGTTGATCGGTTTTTTTTGCGGGGGGAGGTGAGAGAGAGTGTGTGTGTGTGTCATACTTCTGTAAGATTACAGATGGGATGACAGACTTGCAGCGAATTCATTCTCCCCGTCTTGCCTTATAGGCCCTCCAGAGCAACTTGACAGCCTGAACCCTTTGCCCTAGGAGCCCTGATACATCCAACTCAACCGAGAACGAAAACCTCTTGTGCAGGTCCTCTCCGAGCCTTGTCACCCAAGCACACCCCCCCCCCCCCCAAAAAAAAAAAAAAGAAAAGGGTAAGTATCCCAAGCGCTAAGCGCAAACAGAACGTGGCACTGAGCAAGCCCAAGCCGTAGACCCCGAGCAGGCACAGCACTCACCAACAAGCCCAAGATGGTAAGCATGGACAAGACCGATTCCAGCTGCCCGGATGACTGTGAAATTCGCAACGCGTAGGGCTCCCTATGGG